ATATTAGCAAAATATTTAGGCTTCAATGATTTCAAACAGGCTCAGTTTTGGGTGGGTTGGAATGTTAACTGGGCCATGGCCCCCTCAAATCCACTCATTGCTACATCCCCGGTGTTGGTTAGGATGGCATTTGGACTCTGGGCTTCCACCTGTTGAAATGATAAGTTCAAAGGTTGTGAAGCTGGAAGAACCAATTCTTCCTTTTGCATAACACAGGGCACAGAATTTTACCTGATAATCTGGCAACATGTTATAAAATGGTAGAGGCTTATTTGAGGTTAATTGGAAAATGCCCTTGTATGTTAATCCTAAAAATGATATTGCATTTGGTTGGTCTAATGTCAGAGTGTATCTATGGCAACTAAACTAACATTTTTGTGGGTGGGAGTTCAAGTGCACAGAAGTAGGAAGAACAAACTTCTTTAAAAATCGACTAGGAAAGATATGAAAAGAAGCTAATATAGCTCATAAATCTCCTCTAAATCCAAAGAATTATGGAGTGCCTCTCAGAACATTATTTGATATGAAGGTAAAAAAAAAAAATGAAGTTTTAGAAACTTTGGTGAACAAAGTCATAAGCTTCCAGTTTTGTAATTCTCCTTCATAGTTTACTGATATGAAGATGAAGTCATTATTTTAATACCCCTTTTTCCCAATTAAGCTTATTGTCCATGAAAAGTCTCATAAAGACTTTCATTAGTTCATTAGTTTCAAGATGCATTACCATACAGACTATAGGGGGTTGAAACCTGCCCCAGACTATTATAATCACAGCATTAGCAAGATAGGCCTACAATTGCATTATGTTTTATATTAATGCCTTAACAAGCAGTCTAGTTACAGATGTATTCTCATTTTAACCTTCAGTGTTTGCTGGATTAATAACTCCATTAGTGTCACCCAATTTCCCTTCTGTCTTTTTGGTGATTTATTGATATTGAGCCACATTTTAAAAGTTTTTTTTCTGCAATGCAAGTGAAAGGCATGGCATTATCAGCACAGTGTGTATATATTATATACATATACATATACACATATTAGTGAGTGCAACAGGAACATGGACAATGGGCCACACAACTATAAATTGTTTAGTCAGGACGGTAGAGACCTGCCTTGAAAGGCAAAATAACAACATCCAACTCTTACATAGCAACTTTCACCATACATCATAAAACTCTTTACAAATGAGGGAGTATTAGTCCCATTTTATAAATGGTGAAACTAGGGCACAGAAGGTGAAGGGATTACCCGGCACCCTACCAGAAAAGTCAGGAACAGAAATTGGGCATTGATTCCTGAATCCCATGCCTTTGCTGTCAGGCCATGCTGCTGCTACAGGATACAGCTATATTACATGTAGTTAAATCCTGAACTCTGGCAAGCGGATTAAAGCTAATATATACCACTATGAAGGCAAGATCTGTGCTTGTACTGTTTAAAGTTGTAAAACAGAAGACTTAGAGATTGCATTTACAATAGCAGCCTCTGGGTCCTGCCAGGACTTCCAAGGTTTTGAATTAGAAACATTCAGAATAAAGTTCAAGAGTTTATCTTATGTTAGCTACCAGAAAAGAGCAGCAAGATGCACAATGATTGTCTGAGTCCCCAGACTGGAGAGGAGGACAAGGCTGCTGAGCTACTATTTATGTACAAATGAAGAAGAGCAGAACACTGTATTTATGCCTTTTCTATAAATTTTGGATACAAGCTGAATAAAATTCAGAGCTCCCTCCTCCCAGGTGAGGCCCCTCTCACAGAGCTACAAATTCATGTTCCTGCCTTTTGTTTTCTCTGGCCTATACACGCAAGCTCTTCTCTAGACCTGGTAGAAACATTTCCAATGTAAATGGAGCTGAAGAGTCATGAAGGCGACTCCGAGGTATCAGCATGGAAGGCTTCTGAAGGTGTAGGTGGGCTTAAAGGTGCACTGGGTGCTGCAGTGATGGGGGTTGTGTGCCTGGCAGCAGCAATGCAGGTTTACGGGCAGCCAAGAACTGGCTTGGTCTGGGTCCTTCTCCTGATGCTGGTCCTGTGAATTCCCTGGATGAAATGCATGATAGCAAAAGACCTCAGGTTCCTATGGCCATCCCAACCATGCTGGATCTTCTTTCTGCAAAGAGCTGGTATCAGGCCACCTCTACAATATGGTCTAAGGCACTTGTGACAACTCCAATCCTTGCACATAGTTCCTTGTGGAGATGGAGGGTGGTTTCTAACCCACAGTGTTTGCCCACTAGCCATGTTATCCCGACAAGCATAGTGTAACCAACCAGTCAACGGGTATTTCAGGTCCCCTGTCTGTGTTCTTGGCAGAAGATATGAGCTGTTATAGCCCCCAGCCTAGCCCTACAAAGCCTTGGCTCTTGAGGTCCACATACTACAGTTTCTTTCCTCTGGGGATCAGCAGAGAGGGGGCCTGTACATGTTCATGAATAGGTTACAAAGCCTCTCTGCCTCTAGTAAATTTAGAAAACAATAAATGAAGTGTTGGATTCGTTTACAAGTGGAAGGAGGAAGAATTAAAACTAAGCTTGGTGTGTGTTTGCTGCTTCTGAAATTTCACAGCAGGATTTTGAAGACTGGTTAGAGAGGCAAATTTGTAGAAAACCTCAGTGCTCCTAAAATAACACATGAATGTATCTTTGCTCCCCTGGGTGTCATTACAGAGAAGGTAACATATGACTAAACAGGATATGCTAACTTATGAGGCAAAGAGATCATTCACTATTTCACAGGAACTGGTTAAAACTCTTATTCAGCCGGCTTGTGAAGTTTAGGATTGCTGGAGGTTCTGAAAATAAAATATTGTGACAATCACCCTAAGGTTTCAGGGTTTGGTAACCTGGGATGCCAGTGGCTGCTTCCTCTGCACCCAACCAATGCAGGTCAGGTTTTGTTAATGGCCAGCTGATCTCAGCTTCCCTCCATAGTCCATGGAGGGCTACTTTCTCACCTTCCCCCACTGCAGCCTCTTCTTATCATCCTTCCTTACCAAGCTTGTTGGCAACAAGGGTGAGCAGAGGCTGCAGGGAAGAAGTGAGAGAGAAGCCCTTTGCATGGAACGGTAGCTGGGGATTGGCTTCCCACAGCCACAGCCAGGTCACAAGGGGGCATCCTGCCATTGGTGGACGGTTGCCGACCCCTGGACTAAACCAAATGTTAGTCATTTTTGGCAAGGCAGTTCATGGTTTGAAAGGTGATAGCAGAAATTTTAAATATATGAAATATATATGAGAACAATATATATGTTTTCAACAATATATGAAAACAAAAGCAGTTTTTGTCTTCATATATGTGTCTTCATATATGTGAAACAATTTCATATATTGTTTCACATATATGAGCAATATATGTTCAAAACAATATATGAAAACAAAAGCAGTGCTGGACATGGGATAATTCTTAGATTTACAGAGCTCATCCAGTACCTTTTTTTAAAGTCAAAGGTAAAGGCAAAATTTCAGCTCTTATAAATTTGGGATCCAATTCCAAAATTTAACTAGAGTGAAAAAAGTACCCCTAAAATACCCATTTTTTTAAATCAGTGGTAACCTCGATGGTTTCAAGGTTACCATTAACCTTGTGCTTCTTGAGAATCTCCTACTGGCAAGGTAACCTGAATGTAGTTTCAGAGGAAACAATCATATAATAATAGAGAAGTAGGGCTGGAAGGGAACTCAGACATCTTCTACTCCAACCCCTTGCTCTACCCAAACCATCCTATAAAAACCCATAATCTAAACTCTTTGTAAAGAGTTTACCATCAACC